AGCATTCAATTTGAAAAGTTCTTTTACAAAAAGGATCAAAACCTTTTTTAATATGAAACCGAACTAGGTAGTTAAATTTTTTACGCAAATTAGTCGCGCTAGTAACTTGGATGTTGCCGAGTCCTTATCGAAGCAAACCGGTATTGTACTTTGGGGTCTGGAGCAGTGGAAAAGTCTTTTGTCTGATGTATCTTTCCCTCTGCCTTATAGCCAGGGAGTTAGAGGCAATGAATTTCACCCCGATAGGCAAGCACAGTACAATCGCTTCCCCGGAGGTGCCCTCTTCCGTCGGTGGAACTTAAAAGTAGCATGAGGTCTTTCAAGCCATTACCACATTTTTGGAGGCGTCGAATGACAAACTGGAGGTCTTGAAGGGCACAAAGAGAATTTAACGGCCTGTAAGGAGCAGGCTGCCACCGTCGTGGTCATTAATGGGCCTAACACTCTTAGATCTACTCATCTTGTAAGAGCATTAGCTAAGCACGCTGGCCTCCCACCAGCAGTATATTCACCTTTGCATAAAGTTAGTTCCTTTTTTCTACCAAAGCAAGTTGAATATGTCTACTTTAATTTAGTTGACTCTTTAAGACTTTGAATGCATTTATCGACGGAGGCATCTCTGCATCTGCATTAAATAACGCATTTGTTTGTTCACATATTCATTCACAACCTTCTTATTTTGTGCAGAAATGGGAAACGCTCCTTTCCATTGTTTACAGGGTTAGCACAAATACAGCACTTACTTGTTATCGCGCAATCGAGGTGAGAATTGTGCAAGTTTGTGGCAAATATGCCTATGCTTTTGCTCCCAGAACCTTGGAAACTTTGGGAGAATGATAACTTAAGCCACAATCCTGATGCATAATGCTGTGCCTTCAGTAAGCCGTGAACAACATCTTAACTATGCAACCTCATGACAGTGTGATTTTGCTCATCTTCCACTTTGGCCTGGATGATCGTTGAGGTTCTTCTTTGCCACTCACACCTCAGTCCTCATTGTTTTCGCATGCTTCCTTTTTCGGAACGGACGAGCACTAGGAGCACCCGGTGAGTGGATTTCTATTTCCACGGTCATCATATTTTTCATTTGTAACAGTACACTTAATTGCTTGTTAGAATGAGCTTATTTACTGTAGATAGTATGTCACTCTGGCTTACCTAAAGCCACAACAAAATACTAGAGTAGAGCATTAGGGTGTTTGCAAAATCATCCACGATGAATGCAATGCTTGCAGCTTTTGCAAGTTATTTATTAAGATAAGTAAATGCAGGTTTAGCAGCCACTTTTGTTAATGCACTGCATAATGACCACGAGAAGCTGGAAGTTGCTAATGACATTTCTTCTCATTTCTTAGTCTTCGTTTATTTGTAGAGATGCATGAACTAGGGTCAATTCATTTGCTTCACGACTGCATCCAATCGTGGCTGCAACTGCAAGGCATTCTTCTGCACTTTCTTCTATCTACCACGTCGCAGAGGTTTCTTCATGCTAGATCTCTCCTTCTCACAGACTTGCATTACGTGAACCGCGATTAGACATGCGTACGAAGGCGATAATGACGAATATTGGAGACTGCCACTTTTTAAAGGCTTCATATGATGGCTAATCTTCAGTGATTGCTGAGGGTTATGTTCTTCCTCAATGCCATCTCATTGGCTCATACTAAGCAGGGCTGTGGTACAAGTGCACTGATAACCACTGCACGGCTGAGGTCACTCAGGCACTCTAGGTGTCCGTGACTGTAAACGTAGAAGTGTGATTGGACTCATGCTCTGACAGTCTTCTCACTAAAGCCTGTTAGGCAAGCATGCGGGACTTTAGGATTCCGACAATTCGTACATATAAAAAATTGACAAAACGCAGTCTTCCCAAATGCCCATTCACAGCATTCGGTCTCGTTTGCAAAGATCTCTTGTTTGAATTTATTAACGGCAGGATGAATTGCCAGTTTACATCTCGTGCAGGTATGGCATTTGAGCCAATCGGTGAATGAAGATGAGAGTACATATGTTTTTGCCTCGCAATTCTCGCACTTCTTGGGCAATTAAGGCATGCTGAGGGGATTTTGAATTGTTTTTTTTATGTGGTGTAATGTAGGGGAAATGAGTGACATGAGTGGCATGAGCAAAGAACATGCACGTTATTCGACCACCGAGCAGACATTTTCAGTGATGGGCTTGCATGGCGGTCAGGTGCAAACCAAATTAAAGCGCTGCTTGATGTGAAGGAGCTGTTGTTGAGGTGAAACTAAGGCTCACATTGGAGAGATTCCTGCCCTCTGGGTGTCAAGATCTTTAATATCTACTATGTTGGAGAAGAAAAAATAAAAGAGCTTGCCAGTTAATTAAAGTGAGGTGGAGAACT